GTGTGCCGCCAGAGCCCCCGGCCCAGCCGCCGGTCTGGGGAGGCTCTCCGAGGTATACTCTCCAGAGTCCCAGGCCCCCATTCCCAGACAGAGACAGTGAGGAGTGGCCTCCCCAGCTGGAAAGTGTCAGGTTTCAACTGGTTCCACCACTTTCCCCCACTCAGGCCCCATCCCTTGGCCTGGTTACCCGCTTCCCATTGTACCTCGGCCAGGCACCCCCCAACTGCCCAGTTTCATTGCAGCACCCTGAAAATCTTCTCTTTAGGTCTGCAAGGGACAACCCCCAACTCTGGCCTCAAACAGAATCAGTTTGTCAAACAAGGCTGCCCCAAGCTATCCCATCCCCAGGGGGAGACTGTAGCATCTCCCTACTTTACGGAGCATGAACTGAATTTTGGCCGGAGATGAGGGCAAGAGTGCCCATCCAGTCGGGCCCACCTACTTCTGAGAATCAAGACAGACAAGGCCAAAACTCTGGGACCCTCCAGACCCAGCAGAGCCAGAGTTATTAACAAGAGGGCAGAGGCAGGTCATGGCCCCTACCCCCAGCAGACTCCACCCCTTCTTCCCCGAGCCCCCATACCTACTTGCTGCACATGAAGCCGGTGGAACTGATCTGCAATGCACTGAAGCTTTCGGGCAATCTGTACCTCAGCTCGATGTTGCCACTGCCCTTCAGGGGGCTGTTCCCCAAGAGCCAAGCCTGCAGGAAAACTGGCAGGGAGAGGAAGCCGGTAGCCAGCATTGCCTGCAAAGACAGAGGACCCACATCTCAGCATTCTCCACGCTGCCCACTCTCCCCATGCCTGCCCCTCCTGGCTGAGACACGGGGCTCAGGATAAACCCTAGTATGGAAAGAGCAACTAGCCTGCCTTCGTCAGGGCACTCTGCCAGGTCCGGCCCAAGTGTACAGAAGCTGATGCTGGGAGAACAGAAGGGCACGGTTCTCCGTTCACTGTCAGTGCCATGGCAGAGGGCAGGGCGGTAGTGTGCATGGGTGAAAATGCCAACCTTCTGTCCTTACTTATCAAGCTACACTTGACCACCATGTATTATTCATGGAGGAGCAGGTTGAAATTCTCTGGAAAAGCACTGGAGGCAGCTCTCCAGAGTGCCCGGGTTGAACAGAGGAAGAAAAAAACAAATGGTGTCTTCCTTTTCTTAGCGCAATAAAGGAAGGCTGGTTGTGGCTCCTGAAGCTCTGGGCAGCGGCATGAAAACGAGAGAAAGAAAAAACTCCTGAGACCCACACAACCACCAAGTTCCTCTCTGGAGGCTGCCCGGGGCCAGACCTCTAGCCCTGACTCCACGCTTACCGAGTGCTGGCCTAAGAGCTGCCGCTAGGGGCGCCAGCCCACACCAGTCCTTTCCGTCTTCCCAGCTGGCTCGCATGCCTTATCCAATCTCTTAAACTCCCGCCAGAACTGCTTTTCCAGAACTGCTTTTCCAGAGCTGCCCAAGGCACAGTGCCCTCCGGGAGTAACTGCAACATCTCCTAGGTCTGCTCTGTCAGACACCTCTGAACCTTTACCCTCCCTCCCTAAACCATTGTGCCAAAAGAAGCAGACCCAGCATCTAAGCCTGCCCTTTTGCCAGAGGAGGACATATTTCTTATAAAACAAACCGGTTCAGCCCACAAATGAAGGGGTCTTGTCCGATTTAGCCGTGGAGACAGCCCCTCTGATGGCACGGAGCCCAGGCAGGCCCAACCTCTTTCTCCAGTTCCCCTTCCAAGCACAGAAAGTCCCAAGTGGTAACCGTGACCACCTTCTGCCTTGAGTAACCTTCCTCCCAGAACTGGCTGGGTTTTCCCTTCCATGTCAACAGCGACTCACAGATCCTCACCCTTCTCTAGGGCCACATGAACCACTCCATGGAAGGCAAATCTCCACCTGGACACAAAGGCTGGGCCATTCAAGGGGCACAGGATGCAAAAAGGAGACACAATGACCCAGTGAACCCACGAAACCCACCGAGAGGAGACAAAAGAGCAGAAAGAAGGGCAGGGCTATTTGCCCTTGTTGGGGCTGGAGGAGCAGTAACAGGAGGGAGGTAGAAGGTTGACAGGGAATCAACAGGCCCTGCTGCTCAATTTCGGGAAGGAAATAGTGCAGGGCAGGTCTAGGGAGGGAAAGTCCCCTTTTTCCCCCCAACCTCTGTGGGAGGAGTTCTATGGCTATGAGCACTCACCATAAAAGAGTCGTTGGGGTTCCTCGGTCACCCCACAAGGCAGCATGACACCCTGGCTTGGGGAGGCTGGGCTGAGGGTCTGGGTGGCCTTGTCTTCCTGGCTGGTGGGTCGAAGCCCGGGGCCACAGCAATGGGTGAGAGGGAAGAGCTGAAGGCGGCTGAGGGGGCAGTCCAGCTGGCTCTGGGCAAACAGGTCAGCAGAGAGCACGCTCCCAGGCTGGGTCCCTGGCTCCCCGTCCTCTGGCTGGAACACATCATCCTCCAGCTCCTCCACACACTGAGGTGGCTCCATCTCCCCTGTTAGGGAGCAATGCAGGCATCTGAGATGCTGCCCTGCCCAAACCAGTCCTGGAAGGAATCCCCTCCCCTTCCTTCTTCCATGCCACCACCCCCTTCTTATTTGAGGGAGCAGGACCAGGTACAGAGGCCATATAACTGTGGTAAGAAAGCACTGTCAGGGGTGACACCCACCACCCAAATGTGGATAGCCTCAGTGTTCTGGGACTCTGCACACCTCTTCCCTGAGCCCACCTAGAGCTCCCCTTCTCTTACCTCCTCTGACCCAGACATCCTCGCCCTATCTCTTCTGACCCAGGCCTAGGCCAGTCACAAAGCTAGACTCTGAGGCTTATGAGCCATAGCAGGGGTAGGATCTGCTAGAAGCAGGCAGAGTACCTGGGAAAATGTAAACAAGACTAGCCTCTGCAAGTGGCTGGAGGTGGGAGGGCAGAAGAGGGTGGTGACTGGCTTATATATGCAAATATAACAACACACACACACACATCATCATCATCACTACCCTAAGGAGTAACCTCCAAGCTCTCAATTCAGTCTGAGCTGAGCTCCAAACTCTGCAGCAAAAACAAAAGCCAGTAATCCTAGGACAGCCAGGTTCCCTCCAAACCTGCTAAGCCCCGCCTTTCCACCCATCTACTCTAGTCTCCACCCCCTGCTTGCTCAACACAACAAACAGGCTCTGCCCTGTGGTAGGACTGTGTCCTGGGAGAGGGGATAAAGACCCAAGTTAGTCAGCGCAGCTGCCCTCCCAGCTAACACAGTAGAGCTGTCTGCCCACCACAGGCTGGCCTGTAGGGTAGCTGCAGCCTCCCCTCAGCTCAGCCTACTCACTAGTCTCCATGACCTCTAATCCTTGTCCCCACAGCCTACCATCCCTGCCAGCGCTGAACCTGCGACTGGCGTAACCTGTCTCACAGAAGGAAGTGAAATTTAGTCCTCTCTCTGTGACCTCACTCACTGCCTATCCTACGCAGGTTGTTGATATGAGTTTCTTGGTGATCAAGAAGTTCCTCTTGCTCTACCTGATGGCTCTTAGAAGTCTGAGCTTGAAGCCACCCAACTCTTGAGCTTCCAACTCAGCTTTCTACATACATGTCAGAAAACGAGAATCACCTGAACGGTTAAAGGTGCATCCTGGTCAAACTCAATTGGAGATCCCCAGGAGTCTGTCCCCCCAGTCTCTTCCTTTGAAGAACAAGCCAAATGGTGTGTGGGTTGAAGTACTTAAAGGAGCCTCAGTTAAATTCAGAAGTCCTGCCTTTTCCAAATGGAAGCTCTTGCTAAGGGCTTGCTTCAACCCTCCACTCCACTCCACCCCGTCCCTGAGCTATCTCTGGTCCTGTCTCAGCTCTCTTGCTGGGAGGGTGAGGAGGTGCCTGCTAAGGTGGCAAAGCAGACACATGGTGTTCTTTGGATAGTTTCCTAAAGGGGATGGGAGTGAGGGAGGAGGGAACTCAAGCTTATCAGCAACAGGAAACAGTTTCCAGATGAAAGGACCAAGTGCTGTCCTGCTAGTCACCTGGCAGGGGCTCCCCTTCTGCCTTTGGCCTCCTCTCTGCAGGCTGCCAATCTCAACCAAAGAAGGGCCCCTCCAAAGCCAATCGCAAGCAAGAGTCATTGTCTAGGCTTTTTCTTTGAAGCCCATCACCTCCCCTTTATCCTTCCCAGCAAAGCCCCAAAGTTCAGCCCTAGCCTGGATTGGACAGTGGGGGAGGTGCAGCCAGAGGGTGTCGTTCTGCGAGCCCCGCGACCCCTCCCACTCTCTACAGAGACTGCAGGTGGTTCTTCTGTTGAGGGGAGTCTCTTGATGGGTGCTGGAAAAGGTCAAGTGTGAACTGGGACAGGGTGAAGGGAGCCTCTCTTGCTTCTTCCCCTGACTGAAGTAGTGATGTCTAGACTGGTAAGAGAAGGGTTCCTCCTGAGAACACTGCCAGAGTATGCTATATCCTAGGCAAGGGGAACTAACTAAAGCTCGCTGGAGTCAGCGCAGCCCCACGGGGCTCAGCAGAGATGCTCAATTTAGACTCCTCCTCCTCCTCTTAGCAGAAGGCAGTAGCCAGACACAGGTCTGGACGGTGGCTGAAAACAAGATACACACACACACACACACACACACACACACACACACACCAGACCTGGGTGACTCCAGGAGAGAGTCTCGGCCTCCGAGTCGTGATGCCAGGGCTCCGCGCCTGGGTCCAGCGTGACGCGCACTCAGGGGCTTGGCGCCCAGACTCGATGGGGAAGGAGGGGAAAGCCCAGCTGTTAAGAAGAGGAGCCTTCAGACTCCGTAGGGAGGCAGGAAGCCCCCAATTACCTGCCCTTCCCCAAAGTCAGACCTAGAGACTTCGCCGTCCTGGGCGTCCAGGTCAGCTCAGCAGTGCACTCCAGGAAGGATCTCCTGCCCACCTGGACCCTAATCCAAGTCCCAAATGCTACCCCAAAGTTCCGTTTTGGAACAGCGCACCCAGATGTGGGTTTGCACCCCATTCCCGTATCCCTGAGCCCCAGTTCTTCATGGTCACCGCAGACACCCGCAGCCCAAACCCTTCCCAGGGCCCCCATGCGCAGCGCGACTCCGCTCCCCACTTCCCGGTGAGGTGCGATCCAACTCCGCCCGGCCCCCGGCCGCCCGGGAGCTCACCGGGCTGAGGCGGGAGGCAGGAGGCGCGGGCAGGGGCGGCGTCAGCAGCGGGCACTGGCGGGCGCGAGAAGAGGCCACTCCGCACCGCGCGGTATTGTTTCCAAAATACGCCCGCTCGGGGCATCCCGCAAACAGCTGACGAGGCCCCGCCTCCCGACACGTCATGCCGACGCCTGGCCAATGGCGAGTAGACCCCAAGTCCCGGGCTGGGCTAGTGCCAGGGACGGTCACGGACGTACGAACCTTCCCTTGGAAACATTGCAAGGGGTCGAGCAAATTTCCGGCCTCCGTCAGAAGCGCAGTAGGAGAGCGGTCGTCCGCGAGTATTCCGTTCCTAACGCAGGCTATGGAAGCGTCAGAGAGTCCCTGCGTCCTCCCTTAAGTGAGGGAGAGGGGGCGCTAAAGTGACTTTTGTCTTTTTTTTTTTTCCCCCGAGAATGCGCTAAATAATTGCCGCGCGCCTGGATAGGGAAGGTAGGGGAAGCTGGGAGCTTTCAGATGCTGCCGGCAGCGTTCAGTGGGTGCAAAGGCGCGGGTGCCAGTGACTCCCCGCCTAGTGGCAAAGCGCCCTCCTGCCTGGTAGGCGGATCAGAAGAAAACTCCAGCCCCAAAGCTGTAGGAAACATGAAAACACGTGTGTCTGGCGCTGTTACTGAGTGACATTCGGTCAAACACATCTAAAGGAGGTGTCCCCTTTTTGACTGAACGTGGATACTGACAAAGTAACTGGCTGAGGAGAGGAGAGAGAAAAAAACATCAGGGGCTGCTTGGGCAGTTTGACACACACGCTGATCATGGCAGCGTCTACAGATAGTGCCAATCATGCCCTCTTGGCCAGAGGGCATACGGGCTACTCCACAATTAGGAGCACTTAGTTTGCGCCAGGTACGGGGCTAAGTTCCCAAAACCTGGTGCCAGCCTTCAGGGAGTTTATAATCTAGAAGTAGCCCTAATTGATGGAAAGCAGCATGTAGCATATTCATTCCAGGGATAATGACTGCTGAGGGATGCAGACAAACTGGAGACACAAAGACTGGGGAAGGCTTCAGGGAGATGGCTTTTGAGTTGGACCCTGAAGAAAAGGGCCACTTTTCTTTTCTTTCTTTCTTTCTTTTTTTTTTTTTTTTTTGAAGAGGTTTTTTCTATAGGAAGTGCAACTTTTACAGAGAGGTTTTTGCTATAGGACGTGCACATTTGCCAGAAAGACAGAGACAGAGAGACAGAAAGTAAGAAATACCCCCCAGGGGGGATGGCTATGCCGCAATCCCTTTTCCTCCATCCTCCAGTCTCCTCTCGGGATCTTGGGCACGCACACACACATGCCTGGTGTGAGTTTAAGCCACCGGGTCTGGGACTTGAACTGCAGTCGACTACATGGGAGTCCAGCAACATAGCTATTATGCTAACTGATGGTCCTGGGACATTTTTCAATATGGAAAACCAGGTAAAAGAGCCCAGGCCTACGGCAACAGAACGAGTTGGAGAACCTGTGTAAGGACTCCACCACTGGGCGCACGCTGGGATTTAAGGAAGGGAAGGTTTTAGCAGGTAGGTTCAGGCCAGATTATGGAGGTGTCTTTGGTTAGAGGGCACAAGGGCTCACCAGAAAGAGGCGAAAGCACCCCCTATGGGGAATGACCTTGGATCTGGGGCACACATGCACATATGCCTGGCATATTGCTCAAGCCTCCAGGTCTGGGACTTGAACTGTATAGTTGTCCATGTGGGATTCAGCTGCCTTCACCACACCATGGAACTGGCGGTCTCTGGCAAAGATTTTCTAGAAGATGAGCAACTTGACCAAGCCTGAATTGTAGGCAAGATAAATGAAGAGTTCAGAAATCCATGACAGGGAGGCAGTCCCTGCAGCCGCCTAGGTGAGGGGCCTGGCCCATCAGGGCCATAGGGCGAGGCAGTGCCAAGTGGCTATCTCTGGGTTATAAATGAGACAAATTTAAGTTCTGGGAGCTGGGGCCATTGCCTGTGAAGTCTGATGTCTCCTTGAACCTATTTTCTGCCCATTCTTTCCCTCGCTTCTGTAGTGCATCTGAGAAAGAATGAACCAGATATATTGAGGGCTGTGGTTGCTGGAGTAGGAAAGTACTGTCCGCAAAGGACAGAGAAGAGGGGAAAAAAAAGCAGCCCAGTTTCCCCAGGAATTGATAGTTGTCCAGCAAGAGGTGCTGGAACCAAGAGGAGACATTTTATTTTACTAGAAGTCTTGGCCAAAGAAGAGAGTGAGAGATGGTCAGGGTGACCTTGCACTCATACCATATGTAGGGAGACAAAAAGATCAAGCCTCCATAAAGGGCACTGGGAGCCCTCCATTCGATCCCATGCACAGTTGCCTTCCTCTCCTTCCTTCCATCCATCACTTCTTCCTGGCTTTTTTCCTGGGCTAGAGTGTCAGGCTGCCAAGTGGCACTCATGGGCATTCCTCAGGGTCCAGAGCAAAACTGGGGGCCTGACAGTGGCGCAGTAGTTAAATACAACACTCTGCGAGGTCATCCCACATGGGGAGGTTCCCTGTTGAAGTCCAGAGACCTCCCTGAGTGTGCTGGACACATGCTTGCCCATGCTCCAGGGCTGGCTGAAGGTTGGGGATAGATCGTGGCATCAAGACTCTGTTGGGGGGGCTGGCAAGTGGCATGGTGGTTGTGGTGCTGGACTCCCACATGGTCGACTGTGGTTCAAGTCTCGGGCCTAGTGGCTTGCTTTCTCTTTCTCTCTCTCTCTGGTTGAATTGAATAATAATAATAATAATAATTAAAATTTGAAGAAAAAAAAAAAAGACTGTTGGGAGTGCTGTCTCCCTGTCTCTGTCTCACTCTCGCTCATGGAAGAAAGAAGTAAATAAAGTTTAAAAAGAGAAAGACACAGAGAGTGGATCTGAAAGACAAAGCTCTAAACCTGTCTTCTGGGGTAGCACAGGCCTGGAGGGGTGAGGATGAAGTTCTCTGAGAGGGAGAAGACAGAGCTTTAGCAAAGATGCTGGTTCATTACAGTCCTGCAGGGTGGAATCGGATCCCTAAGGCAAGAAAGCTGGGCAAGCAGAGTTTTCACCTGGAATCTGTCTGAGCACTTAACAGGCTCACCAGGGTCCTGAGTTTCAGAGTCTATGAGCCCCTGAAACTGAAACTGGACTGTTTGTGGGTGCATAACAGTTTGCCTAAGGGATCTGTGGTTAAAATAAATGGTTAAAAATCACCATTGTAGGGGAATAGGCTTGATAACAGGAAGGAGTCATCGTTTTTCTTTTCTTTATTATTATCTTTATTATTATTAGGTTTTTGCCATAGTGTGCATGCACTCGCCGGAGAGACAGAGGAAAAGTGAGAAATCACCTCCCAGGGGGATGGCCACATTGTAATCCCTTTTCCTCCATTCTCCTCTTGGGATCCTGGGTGCACACACCTATGCCTGGCATGATTTTCTTTTTTCTTTTTTCTTTTTTTTGGGAGAGGTTTTTGCTATAGGGAGTGTGTGCTCGCCAGAAAGACAGAGAGATCGAAAGCAAGAAATCACCCCCCAGGGGAGATAACCATACTGCAATCTCTTCTCCTCCATTCTCCTCTTGGAATCTTGGGCATGCACGCACACACGCCCAGCGTAAGTTTAAGCCACCTGGTCCGGGACTCGAATTGCAGTCAACTACATGGGAGTCCAGCGATGTAGCCATTACACTAACTGCTGGTCCTGCCTGGTATGATTTTCAGGCTGCCAGTTCTGGGACTCGAACCATGGTCAACCATGTGGGAGTTCAGCACCTTCACTAGCATACAACCTGCTGGCCCTAGGAGGGAGTCATCTTAATGAGTTTGGGCAGTTTGCAAGATGAGGAAAGGGTCGTACCCACTAGTGACATTTCTTTTGAGACCTCTCTCCCTGCCTTCCCAGCCTGCTCTCTAGGGCCTCCTGTGCTCTCAGCTTCTAGGGCAGCAGGGGCCACGCCTTCTGAGCTAGAGGGACCAGAGGAGGACTGTCAG